TAAAAGTTTATCGGCTTTGGCGTATAATGTGTTATCCCTAGTTGTTACAATTAATCATTTACACTGTATAAACAATGATAAAGTATTTTTTCAAAATAATATGCTGTTTTTGGAAAATTGATTCTGGGGGGGTGATAGGCAAGATCGATCGCAGGGGTTAAAAAACCCTTTAAAGGTCGTCTCCCAGCAAGAAAAACCCACCGGGTCACGAGCCACGACCGAGGGAGTTTCAGACTGAAGATCCCAGCTGACCAGAAGTGCAATATCGTGTATCTTTAGAGTCGACCTCACGATTAACAAGCAATTAGAAAACGTTTTTTAAAGATGCCTTAAAGTCTTACAAATCACTTTGAATCCTGTGGGTCTGGTTGCGGACTCACAAAGGAGCAACACATGTGCCTCTGAAGGCTCTCGGGTGCAACACAAATATGAAACATTGTGTTTGTCACGAGGAAAAGAACCAATCAATGCAAACGGGAAATAACGACAAAGCCAAAACCGTACTTCATTTCATTCTTTCTCTGTGTTGCTGGGGACTTTTTCTCTTTCCATTTTTGCGTATGATATAAGCGATGATAATTTGGATTTTTTTTTTTTCCGGACATATTTATTGTCTCGTGTTCTGGATGTGAACAGTGTTGCAGAAGAAATCCCCACAATGTACAAGTGAGCGGCAAGACTTCCTCCATCAGCCCACCAGTGCTGTGCGTGAAACAGTCCTTTCATTCCTTTGATATATATTTTTTTTGTATTATTTGACAAAGCGATATGACACAACGTCACGCGTACAAGCGCATTATCACTACTATTTATAATAAAATAAAAACTGAAAATAGCCGCCTCCGCTGTATTATTATGTTGTTTTTTTTTAAATCTGCTGGTTGATTAAATAAGAGTCTTTGTAGGCGCATTCATCCATAAATAGGCCCGGACGAATGGGGATCACCAGACGTTCGATTCGACCCTGAAACACAACAGTGCTGTTCACACAGATGGCTGTGCATGACATCTGCATTGGTGTGTATTAATACGCCCCTGACCCCCCCCACCGCTACTGTAACAAACTGCCTTTTGTTTAACAACCAATGAAGAAGCCTTGAAGCGTTTTAGACAAACGGCAACACCCGGACCTCCAAATAAACACACACACACACACACACACAGGGCGCACTCTTGTGCACCGCATGCATTCATACATTATGGTCACATATATAGTTTCCGTGTGTGTGTGTGTGTGTGTGTGTGTGTGTGTGTCCGTGCCGCCCGAGGCTTTTCACCCTAATTATAACATTCTTCTGATTAATCGTGTCTGCTCACAGGCCTCGCTCTATAAATAAAGTCTAAGTCAATAACAACGTCAAGGATCACTCATAGTCTTGTCAGCTCTGTTTGCTAAGCCCAAATAATTCAGCCAATGAGAGGACACGGAGACGCACACGCGCCAACAAACACACACACACACACACACACACACACACACACACTGGAAATGTACAAGCAGAGCGGCGCTCTAATCACCTGCGGCGCTCACAAACACTCCCGCGGATACACACGTACAGGCGTGAACACATGGAGGACACACACACACACACACACACACACTCACCCTGTTTGCTTTCTTAATCAGTCCAAACCATTGAAGATGAAGACAAATCACACCTGCAAAGTTCCAAAAGCTCGGCGGGACTTTTCATTAATGAACCCGGTTATTTCTTCAGCGCACCCCAGAGTGTCGTTAAATGGAACTTTATGAGGCGTTTCGTTCTGTCGGCTAATGACAGGATTCTGGATTGTTGGACCCGCGCCTGGCAGCACCACCCGTACGCCTATATCCAAATGAATCCAAATTAAACAACCAGTGTGCGGATAAAATCTCTCTCTCTCTCTCTCTCTATATATATATATATATATATTTATATATTTTTCCATACACAGCAAAATTCGTAACTTTCCTTGAATTGAAATCACACTGCAAAAAGATGATTCAACTGTAACAGAGTCAATTGTCCAAAGAGTCATTATCGTGTCAGGGACATAGAGTGTATTTAACACTGATTCACATTCATTTGCGACACTTAGCAGAGTTAAATTGACTATTTGATTTGTTTGAAATGTACCTGTACACGACCGTCACACTTCTTGGTGTTGGGTTTAACTCTATGTACTTTAACGCTTATTCCGAGTTAAATTGTTAACACTTTGTTGAGTGTTAATTTAACACTGACAAGATTGAGACGATACAAAAACCATCTTAGAGTTAAAATTGAATGTGACGGAGCCAATTTAACTCTCTTTGCTGTGACACGTCAGTGGCATCTTCCACTTGTGGGTTACAGATCTATGAAATCATCGTTGCCTTTTCATTCACTTTCTTCTGCACACAAATCGTCCCTCAGAGCACCATAAGCTCCTTCCATACGACCACGTGGAACATTTCTACGGTTAAAAACACCCGACAACGGCTCTGTGCTCTCACACACACACACACACGAACACACAAAGCGCTGTGTGAGCATGTGATCCAGTAACTTTAGCCCCCCGGGTTAAAGAACTTGTGTTTTTCTTCAATGTTGTGATCTAACATGACCTGCAGACCGGGCTGCAGCTGCTCCCGTCCTTCTCGCTGCGTGGAACGTGGGTTCGGACCCTCTCCGGGGCGCCATGTCGGGCCGTCGGCACGTCACGTGAAAGGAGGTGTTTCCAGAACGGGGCGAACATCTGGTTTGTGCGTTCTGTACTGTGAATGTGTCTGTTTACATGTGTAATAGGAATAAGACGGGAAGAGGACTCTTTTTTTTTTTTTTTGCACTTTACCTAATTACCAACGTTGAAACATCCGACCTTCCTCTCTGGGCGCAGTCAGGTGGGAGGAAGCTCCGGGCCACGCAAACCCCGCACACACACACACACACACACACACACACACACACACACACACACACACACACACACACTTAAACCTCTGACACCCACGAGCATTCACACAGTCTGTCATCACGGGTCTCCGGGTGCTGCTGACCTGAGCACCAACACATGCTGGGGACAACTTAATCTCGGGACCCTCAGACGGAAAAACACATCCACTGAGGGGGGGGGGGGGGGGGGCAGTGTGTGTGTGAGTGTGTGTGTGTGTGTGTGTGTGTGAGGCGGCAGACGGATGATACCCAACTGTATAACGACACTTTATTGCTCTCATTTGTTAGATGTCTATGACACATACGTCCTTTGTCACGTGAGAACCTTCTACATGTACAGTTACATGTGTCAATATGTGTATGTACTATAGATATATCTATCTACATATATATATATATATATATATATATATATTCTATAGTCACAGCTCAGAGTATTAGGAAAAAACCCGTTCAGGATCTATAAGAAAAGAAAAGGACTTGTTTTATTAAAATAGGTTTTCATCCAGCAATGACGCCATGTTTTATGTTGTATTTCCTCTCTTCTTGTTCTGTTTTTCTAGACTTTGAGCGGAATCGCCATGAATTCTGACATATTTATTGCTTCAGTGCCCCTGTGGGTATCAGTGGAGTGTCAACATGATTTAGCCTTTTATTTTATTCCAACTACAAGTGGCACAAAGAGTGATATTGAAGGAGACGTTGTACACGAGAACCACGCTCGGCCACATGAGTGAAACGCAAGCAACCAAACTTCCACCTCGTGAGAAACTGAGTCTGTATTTATTGCTGCTCGTGTGCTCCGAGACGCTCTGGTTAAACTTTTATGTGATGACTTTTAGGCTAATTGGGGTCGGCGGGAACCAGCTTTTCAGCAGACGGGAACACACCCCGCGACGCGCCGCTAAATGCTAACGTATTAGCCAGCTAGTCGCTAACGTAGCCCTCCTGCTGTCTGATGCTGAACAGTTATCAGGCAGTTTGTGCGGATTAAGCAAGCAAGACATTTATTACTTTAGAACCCGTGTGTATCATGTGCTCTTTCCCCCCTTGTTTGAATTCACTATGCTAAGCTAAGCTAATCAGCTGCGGGCTGTGTGTTCTGCTGGAAGCTGTACGTGTGGCCATATTGGCACGACTACTGAATGTTTGAAACATGCTGCACGTTGATGGACAGTAAAATGTAGGAAGATGTTTGGAAACCACTTTTCCTCCGTCACGAAACCCCGGAGCCAGAAGAGTCCAAACCGACCACAGCTGCTTGTTCTGACTGCAGACCTCTTCTACGGCCGTTTTCATGCTCAAAATGACAGATATCACTTCGGCGGTGGGCCCGATCCAGAGCAGCCAACGGG